TAAGTCATGAGCAGCAGAAATTCAGCAGGCATAAAGGATGTGGAGGGCTCCAGGCCGAAGAACGTGGTTGGGCAAAGGCCCAATGGTAAAAGCATTTAATATATCTTGGGGGAAATGTAACTAGTTTGGCTTAGCTATAGAACAAAGTTTGAGGGAGCAAAGCCAACCATAGTGCTGACTGAGACAGCAATCACATTACCCAGTGCTTACTGGCATGTACAGAAATCATCCAGGAGCTACTCCCAAACCCTGGCTTCATGGGATGCTGGAGAACCATCTCCTTTCCAGAAAGAAGTAGTGGCTATTAATGCCTGTGGCTTGGCTGTTATTCCTTATTTAATCTGTTCCATACCCTGATGTTTCCTCCCTGAACAAAATGCTTTGTCTTTTTGTTCCAATAGCTGGAGGTTAGTCAGCTCATGCTGTGCTTCATTTGAATGTAACTTCAGAAGAACTAAGTTTTTATCAGTTCTTGACAAGATGATGTCCCTGTTTTTGGCACCTCCCCTCTGGAGGCTGAGCCCTGCCCTTTTAGGACTACTTCTTCCCTCTTTCTTGTCTATTTTCCATGACGTTTCAGCATTTGGAAAATGCCCGTGTCTTTGCACTCATACAGAGGAAATACCAGTGTGATATTTCTGCTCCATTTACACAGAAATTAGGTCTTGCCACCCAATGTGCCTTTAACTAGAGCACAGATGCATTCCCCGGGAGAGATCCTCAGCTCTCTTCTCTTTGCTTCCACAGCAAAAAACAAACAAACAAACAAACAAAAAAACAAACGTGTATTGATGCTATATCCAAATAGCAGGGCCAAATGGCTGATGATTTACCTTTTAAATCTTTATACTTTCATCCTAAAGTTGACCTTTCTGGCCACTTTCTAACCTTTCTGGCTACCCCTTGATTTTTAGAACTCCAATACTGCTCCCTAGTTAAAAGTATGAGTAAAAAACATGCTTTACTGATTGCAAAATACTTTGGCAAGATTAACTATACTCTGGTAAATCTATTATTCCAAAGGCTGATCTTTTGCCTGCCATGCTCAGCTTCCCTTTCTGACCTGATCTCCTGGTAGAACTGCTTAAACCAACATAGATAGTAGACCCATGGGGAAATTGATGGGTGGAATAGGCCAATTTATTAGACCTTGAAACTTTCATTTCACAGGCCTAGAAACTACAGCTTGTTTGGTAATGGGGACTTGAAATCTTGAGATGAAAGTTAATAGGGAGTTGGAGCTAGCATTCATGCAATCACCACTCAGAGTTTACGGGGAGTAGAAAATCCATTTAAATCAGAGAAAGCCATCTTCCAGGAGATACATGGTTTGAGAGTAAATAGGCAGAGAGAAGGAATGGACCCCAAGTGGCTGTAGGCAACACAGAGGCTGTTCTCCACTCCTGTTTTCTAGCGCAGCCCCTGTGCACCTTTCACAGGGTCAGCCTTCAATGGGGTGTTTGAGGTTGCCAAGTGAAGCCTTTCAATAGTTCTTCTCCTCTAACTTTTTAAAAATTGTACTAGTTTGAGTATCTTGTAATAAAATGATTCCTAACTATAACTGTTATAACAGCATTTTGAAAAGTATTTTTATTCTTAGCTTCAGTCAGGCTGGGATAGGATTCCTGTCTAGGCAAATGTGATCCTGCCTTTCTCCTACTAGGATACTAGGCTAGGAAGCTGTCCTGCCCTCCACTAGGAGATTAGATGAGGCTACCCAAGGCCTGAAGCTCCCTAGGTTATCCACGCCTTTCTTGTCACTGTGCTGTGCCCAATGACACCTGTGCCTACACTCCTTACTCCTGTCCATTCATTCTTGCAGATTCAACTCGCTCTCCTCCCCTGGATGCTCTCCTGTTCCCCTGTCACCCTGTACTGTCTGCTCTCATGCCACAGGCCTACTGCATTGCCATTGGCTCTTTCCTCACTCCTCTTTTATGAAGAACCGTGAGGTCCCTTGAGGGGGAGGCAGCATCCTAATCACGACAATGACTACAGTTCCTATCAGTTCCCAGCATATAGTGAGTCACTGGTAAATGAAGGGAGCACAACTTTTCCGTGCCAGCATCTCCAATACCTGAAGCAATTAGCAGTACTTTGATTCCAATGAGTAGGCATTCCTGTGTCATGCAAATAGAAGAAGGACATGCCTCCCAAATCTCATGGTGACATTTGCCATCACTTAATTAGAGACAACCTATATCACTTGCTAGAGGTACCAATTAGAGAGTTTCAAATACAAATCCCATGTGTGTGACTCATACATGAAAAATATCCACAGATGAGATTACATTTCACTATTTTAATTGGGTTGAAAAAATGTATGAAGAAAAGACAGCTGAGTCATTAATTCTTAACTGCTTGATAGGCGCTTTCAGTGGGGGCAGAATGTTGCTTTCCTTCCTTCCTCACTTCTTTCCTACTTTCCATCCATCCATCCATCCATCCATCCATCCATCCATCAGCCCACCTATCTACCTATCTACCCATCGACCTGGCCATCCGTCCACTCACCATACCTATTTTCTTCTTTCTTTCCAACTATTATTTTCTACTCATAAATACTAAATTGTTTAGAGTATAGACATTCTTAAAGACCTTACCTAGTTTCTCCAGCCTGGAGATGATCTATACGCCAGTCTCCCATTGGGTAACAACATGTGGCCTAGGAGTAAGGCTAGGAAAAACTGTACACCTGGGTACCGTGTGAGATTTATGAAACTGAAATTCTAAGTTGTCTCTACACAAGCCATCTGGATCAAGCCAATTGGCCAAAGGTCACCCTAAGAAAGAACCTGAGGATCAGGATAAGGGGTACTGCACTTCATGTCGAAGTGCCGCCATGATATACCAGCAGGATACCTTAGCCAAGTATTTCAAACTTCCCATGCCTCCACTCTCCTTTATAAAATGGAGGTAATACCAATTCTGCAAGGTTTTTGAGAGGAAGATAAAATAAGACTCTGAGTTAGAGCTGACTCAATGCTGACTAGCACTTTATAGGTTGCCAGCAAAGGCTTTCACTTCTGCACCTCAGCATCTACAGGCTGGAATCAGGACCCACACAGGACCTAGCATGCCCATAACCCAACTAATCCATTGGTAGGATGAAGACCTAACGGAACCCTAGGCTTAACTCCCAGGGGCTGGGAAAATTAGATTAAGTCTATGAAGAAGATCAGGAGCCATGCAGAAAAATACCATTTAGAATAAAAAGGGGCAAAGAAAAAAGGACTGTGATTGTTTAATGCTCACGTTCACTTGCTAGAGCCAGCTCATTTTTTACACAAAATATTTTACCTACTGAACGTTATTGGACTGAAGTGTGCATTAAATTGTTATATCTCTAATTCTCCAAGATTGTTATTACTTCAATATCTCATACTTCATTGCATTTTAAACATCTTTAACCCCCAAAACAGTCCTTAACTTACTTTGTAATTCATGCTAATAAACGTAATTGTCTAAAACTTTCTGTAACTGCCATTGACAAACCAGAATCATTAACAGAGCTAATCAGGAGCTGCCACTCCTGAGGGCCTACTATGTGCCAGCCTTTACAGTCATGATCTCATTAAATTCTCACAAGCACCCCTGCAGGATGGCAAAATTGGCTCCACTTCATGGATGAAGGAACAGATTCAGAGAGCTTCAGAAACTCATGCAAATAAGACCATGGCTCCTAGACAGAAGAACTGAAATTTCCTCCCGGTTGGTCATTCTTCTCCCCACAATAAGTCAATGCAATAGCACACATTCAGTTCCATCTCCTGTGGGTCAAACTGTGGACCAAGTTTTCAGTAGGGTACAAGGAGGCAATATAGTCAAGACTAAAGTGAACTGGGGAATGAATAGTCAGAGTTCACCAGAGAAACAGAACCAATAGTACATAACAATCTCTCTAAATCCATATACCTCTAGATCTGTGCGTGTGTGTGTGTGTGCGTGTGTGTGTGTGTGTAGAGATAAGGAGACATACAGAGAGAATTTTAAAGAATCGGCTCATACATTTGTAGGGTTAGCAAATTTGAGACCTGTAGGGCAGGCCTGCAGGCTGAAAATCCAGACAGAAGTTGACGCTCCAATCTTGAGGCATGTTTCTTCTTTTCTGGGAAACCACAGTTTATGCTCTCAAAGCTCTTCAACTGATTGGAAGAGGCTCACCCATGTTAGTGAGAGTAATATCCTTTACTTAAAGTCAACTGATTGTAGATCTTGAGCACATCTATTAAATACCTTCATGGCAATATCCAGACTGATGTTTGATTAAATGACTGGGTACTACAGCCCAATTTGACATATCACAAACTAATCATCACACTCGATGAAGAATTTTTTAGACTTTTGTATTCAAATTGAATGAGAATATTTGATGGGAGAGTACAAATTTCTCTTAAGCTCAGAAATGCCATACTTTTGTTTCTCTACTGGTAAGCTAAAAAATAAAACCCGTGTGGCTTGTGCTATCTACTTTGTTCTAGAAGGTAGTAAATGCATTATACATTTTTATTGCAAACTCCATTTCATGCCTTAGATTCCAAGATGTCCAGAACGATGGATAGCAATTATCTGGTTTACAGTATATTCACTGCAAAATGCTTGCCTGCTTCTCCGTGCTTCAGAAAAAAAAGCACTGCAGGCCAATTTCCCTTCTTATTTATGTGAACTGTTATCTGCATTTCTCCAGCTCTGACTCCTACTTGAGAAGAAACAGAGTATAAGAAATGGAGGACAGGCAAAAAGTCTCCAAGCTGCTCCATGCACCCTGGCCAAATACACAATCATAACAAAATCGGAAGCCCAGTACCCTAGGTCATCCTCATGATTATCAGCCTCTCAGAGAAGATGGGTTTATTTGCATCCACATGTCTGCACTCCTGCCTGCTCAGTTCAGCTCAGTTCAGGTAGTCCCTGACAGGGACTCTGACCCTCCCTTGCTCTTCCACCCCTAAATTCATAACCAAGACCAAATTAAGTCCCTCTCCTTGTCCTCCCAGAGCCCCTACTTATCTCTAGCATAGCAAGGACTGTATTGGAATGTAAATATTGTTTTGTGCCTTTTCTCTACCAGATGGTGGAGAAAGATGCTGGGTGTTTTATGTCTATATCCCTAACTCAGCACAAAAGTTCTCAAAATATGGCCAGGAACCCTTGGTGGGTCTCTGAGACCCTTTCAGGGGTTCACCAGGTCAAAATTATGTTTATAAAAGAGCTAAGATAGTATTTGCTTTCTTTGCTTCTTTTCTCTCTGGAGCAGTTTTCCAGAGGTTATAAGCAGATATAAAAATCCAGCTGTCTTCTATTAAGCCAGACATGAAAGATATTTGCAAAAATATAAAACAATTAGACTCTTCCTACTATTTTTTAAAAATTCTCATTAACATAGTTATTTTTAACAAAAAGTATGTTATTTTGGTCACCATGTGAAGAGTTTAATTTTAACTGAATTAATAGATACACATTTTTAAATTTTGTCAGTTTAAATTGCTAATGCAATAAATAGCAACAGGTATAACCTACAAAACTAAAGCTCTTGGGGTTTGTTAATAATATTTAAGAATGCTAACATGTTCAGAGGCCAAAAGTTTAACGTATGGCTTGTCAAAGGACTTGAAACAACTGCTCAGGTAGGAAACTGTGTGAGTGTAAGTGGAGGGGCAGAGTGGGGAGGGAAGAAACAGACAGTAGGAGGAAAGAGAAAGAAAGAATACCTGAAGTCATCAAGGAAAGACTTACGTAATCATTTCTTAGATTTAACTCAGTTAGAAAGAGTTGATCAATGTAGTGACAAGATCAGTTCTTCTGGTTCTGGTTGTGCAGGAAAAATAACTTGTTGACTGGATCGCCTGCACATCAATTGTTGTGATACTATGTAGGTAACAGAGCCTCTGATTCTTTTGGAAAAAGGAAGAGGAGTGTCTTCTCTTGTTGTATGAACTTGAGTGCATGTTGTGGGGAGAATAATTGTCTGAAACCACAGTCTTTATCTCTTTTGCAACCTGACTGAAGAAACTGCCATAAAAATAAACAAACTTTACAAATCATATCTGTAAAAGGCATTAGAGGTTAAAAGTGTTGTGATGAATTTCTGAAATAAATTTAGACTCTGAATTTTCGAAGTGTTTAGGAGGCAAATATTGTGTCTCAAGAGTAATCATGATCTTGGGGGGTTTAAAGGGTAACTGCACTGTTGAAAGTGTCAATTTCTCCTAGCGGTAAATAGAACAAGTATTTGCCAGCTGGAGGAGTCTCTCAATGCCTAAGGCATCCTTCCCAAAATTGATAACCGAGACCTTTGCTCTTACTAGTACTAATCCTGAGGTCTGGCACATGTTAGGTGCTCTCTATATGTTAAAAGATCACTAACTAATGAATAAGCTTTGACTCCTTGTGTTAATGTCTGGGCAAAGACTAGCACACAGCGATTTCTCCTCAATTATAAATTATCTTAACCTAAGAAAGCAAATAGTATCTTAGTACTTTTATGAAAATAATTTTTATCTTGTGGATGGACCCTTGAAAGGGACTCAGGGACTCCCCACTGAGAGTTCCTGGCTATATTTTGAAAACTATTGTGATAGGTTAGGGATATAGACATAAAAGACCCAGCACCTTTCCCTACCACGTAGTAGAGATTAGGACCTACTTCTTTCTGAACAACTTTTGGTTGACCAAGATAATATTGGTTTTCTCATACACCAATACTTCTAGAGTAATTAGACAAGGAAGAAATGAGGAAAAGGAAAACAAAGAGGATGAATAGACAGTGTAAATAAAAGAAATTGGCAGACAGTAAATAAACACTGGCCTAGAACGGTTCGGCATGGGATGAGAAAAATGCTATGGAATTCTATGAAATTGAGAATGTCTCGGGAGAAAAGCCATTCCTGAGTCATAAAATCAGATTTACACTGGTGGTGAAAAATCCATAAATATTATATGCAAAAAGCACATAAATTTACTAACAATGAACTCATTTATGGTTTAGAGAGTGTAAAAAATTCTTATGAGCATGACAAATGCGATTAATTGTGCAGGGCTCACCATATTGAATTTAAGATGGATGTCATGTCACTGGTGGTGTTCTATTGGATATTTTGTATGTTAGTGAAAATGGAGATTTACAAAAACAGTTGTATATTAATTCTAAATACTATTTCCTTAAATCTTTTTAGATTTTTAGAATTTCAACTTTTATTTTAGATACACAGGGTACACGTGCAGGTGTGCTACATGGGTATATTGCATGATGCTGAGGCTTAGGATTCAGATCCTGCCACAAGGTTGGTGAACATAGTACTCACCAGGCAGTTTTTCAACATACACCCTCTCTCCATACTTTCCCCTTCTAGTAGTCTACAGGATCCATTGTTTCCATCCTTGTGTCCCTGAGTACCCAATGTTTAGTTCCCACTTGTGAGATCATACAGTATTTCATTTTCTATTCCTGCATTAATTTGTTTAGGATAACAGCCTTCAGCTGCATTCATGTTGCTGCAAAGGATATAATATGGTTCTTTTTAATAGTTGCATAGTATTCCATGGTATATAGGTACCACATTTCCTTTATCCAATCTACTGTTGATAGGCAACTAGGTTGACTCCATGTCTTTGCTATTGTTGATAGTGCTGTAATGAACATACAAGTGTGTGTCTTTTTGGTAGAAGGATTTGTTTTCATTTGGGTGTATACCTAGGAATGGGATTGCTGGGTCGAATGATACTTCTGTTTTAAATTCTCTGAGAAATTTTAAAATTGCTTTCCACAGTGGCTGAACTAACTTATATTACCACTAACAATGTATAAGCATTCCCTTTTCACCACAGCTTTACTAGCCTCTGTTTTTAGGTTTTTAAATACTAGCCATTGTGACTGCTGTGAGATGACATCCCATTGTGATTTTGATTTGCATTCCTCCGATTAATGATGATGAACATTTTTCATATGTCTGTTGGTTGCTTGTATATCTTCTTTTGAGAAGTGTCTGTTCATATTCTTGGTCTGTTTTGTAATGGGGATGTTTTTTGCTGTTAAATTATTAAGTTCCTTATAGATTCTGGGTATTAGGCCTTTGTTGGATGCATAGTTTGGAAATATTTTCTTACATTTTGTAGGATATCTGTTTATTCTGTTGATAGATTCTGTTGATAGTTTCTTTTGCTGTGCAAAAGCTCCTTAATTAGGTCCCATCTGTCAATTTTTATTTTTATCACAATTGCTTTTGGGAACTTAGCCAAAAATTCTTCAGCAATGCTACTGTCAAGAAGAGTATTTCCTAGGTTTTCTTCTAGGATTTTTATAGTTTGAGGCTTCGCATTTAAGTCTTTAATCCACTTTAAGTTTTGCATATGGTGAAAGGTAGGAGTCCAGTTTCATTTTTCTGCATATGACTAGCCAATTATCCCAGCATCATTTATTGAATAGGAAGTTCGTTTCCCCATTGCTTATTTTTGGCTATTTTGATGAAGATCAGATGACTGTATCTGTGTGGCTTTATATCCAGGTTTTCGATTCTGTTCTATTTGTCTATGTGTCTGTTTTTGTTCCAGTACCATGCTGTCTTGGTTACTGCAGCCTTATAGCATAGTTTGAAGTCAGGTAGTGTGATGTTTTCCCCTTAGGACTGATTTGGTTATTCAGGCTGTTTTTTGGTTCCATATGAATTTTAGAGTAGTTTTTTCCAATTCTATGAAAAATGACATTGGTAGTTTGGTAGTGTTATAAATTGCTTTCAGCAATATGGCCATTTAAACAATATTTATTCTAATCCATGAGCATGGAATGTTTTTCTATTTGTGTTGTCTATGATTTCTTTCAGCAGTGTTTTGTAGTTCTCCTTCTAGAGATTTTTCACCTCCCTGATGAGCTGTATTCTTAGATATTTCCATTTTTCCATGGCTAGTGTAAATGAGATAGTGTTTTTGACTTTCAGCTTGAAATGTTATTAGTATAGACATTCTACTGACTTCTGTATAGTGATTTTATATCATGGAAAAAGTCATTTATCAGTTCTAGGAGTCTTCTGACAGAGTTTTTAGTTTTCTCCTGGTATATAATCATATCATCAGAAAAGAGATAGTTTGACTTCTTCTTTTCCTATTTGGGTGCATTTTTTTCTCTTGCATGATTGCTCTGGTTTGGACTTCCAGTACTCTGTTGAATAAGAGTGGTAAGGGTGAGCATCCTTAGTGTGTTCCAGTTCTCAAGGGGAATGCTCCCAGCTTTTGCCCATTCCATGTGATTTTGGCTGTGGGTTTGTCTTAGATGGGCCATATTGTTTTGCCTAGTCATTTTGCGGGTTTTTATTGTGAAGAGACATTGAATTTTATTGAAAGCTTTTTCTGTATCTATGGAAATAAAGATGGTTTTTATTTTTAATATAAAAATATTAAATGGTTTTTGCTTTTAATTCTGTTTATGTGATGAATCACATTTATTGATTTGTGTATGTTGAACCAGCCTTGCATCCAGGAATAAAGCTTACTTGATCATGGTGTATTAACTTTGATGTTCTACTAGATTAACCCCAAAGCAAGTAGAAGAAAATCAATAAAATTAGAAAAGAACTGAACAAAATTGTGATGCAGAAATCCATACAAAGAATCAATGAAACCAATACTTTATTTTCTAAAAGAATAAACAAGATTGATAGACTGCTAACCAGATTAACAAAGAAATAAAAGAATATCCAAATAAGTACAATCAGAAGTGACAAATGGCATTACAAGTGATCCTACAGAAATACAAAGATCCTCAGAGATTATTAAGAACATCTCTAAGCACACAAATTAGAAAATCTAGAGGAAATGGATAAATTCCTGGAAACACACAGCCTCCCAAGATTGAACCAGGAGGAACGTGGAAACCTGAACAGATCAATAACAAGTTCCAACACTGAATCAGTAATTTAACAAACCCACCAACCAAAAAAACCCCCAGACCAGATGGAGTCACAGCTGAATTCTACCAGACATATGAAGAAGAACTGGCACAAATCCTACTGAAACTCTTCCAAAACATCAAGGAGGAGGAGCTCATCCCTAACTCATTCTTTGGAGACTGATAGGAAAATCTGGCAGAGACACATCAGAAAAAGAAACCTTTAGGCCAATATCCCTGCTAAACATAGATACAAAAATTCTCCACAAAATACTAGCAAATCTTTTTCTTTAAAAAATAAAGATTAAATAGTTCCCAGCAGCGAAGCTTCCCCCCATTGAGCATTTCTAGGAACCCAAACTATGTCACATTGTTATCCTCTACAAAGGGAAGGGGCAAGACTTTCCCTGTGGCCCAGCTGGTATCTGATGGGATTAATCAGATTAAAAACAGCCTTTTTTTTGCACTCTAATGTTAGCAGGGTGTGTTTGTCCAGATCCTCTGAGAGGCAAACACCAAGACCGGATTCAACATGCAAGAATTTTATTAAGGAAAAATGCTTGCATGACGGAAATTATGGAGGGAGCCAGAAAAGTCTGACAAAGAGGTCAGACCTTGACACAAGTGTAACCCCTATGGAGGGGAGAGGAAGAAATAAACTGCCTCTTCCTAATAACAGATGGCACTTAAGGTAAAACTTATTTGTCATCCCTGTCCCAGGAGAAGTAGTGGACAGTGGGATCAGGGAGGAAAGAAAGGCAAAGAACATTATGCACCAAAATTCAGTAACTACGCTGAGGGAGGACAAAAGTAAGATCACTAAGATTGCTCTAGGAAGGCTGGAAATGAATCTGTCTGGAGGGGAAAAAAAATGAGAGAAAGCATGGCTAAGGATATTGATGTCAGCTGATTACTCTTGTATCTTGGGCCTAACTAGCTTGGAAATGGTTTTCAAAGCAGATGGCGATCTCAGTGCACTGAATTGTCATGACTGTCTTGGAATTTTGGAAGCCCTTGACTTACTGGTTGTTTCATGACATTGGAGGTCATTGATAAGGGAGGCTGGCTGCTAAGAGTGGGCACTCGGCAAGTGTGTGATCAACCAGACTGAAGACATGTTTGTATCATGACAACGGGTATTATCTAGGATTTCCCAGTGCACCAAGCAAGCAGGATCATGGGTATACTAAGAATAACCTAGACCCAGCCACTTGCTTTGGGGGAAAGGCAAGGCAAGGGTTGCTCTGCCTTAGAATCTGAGTTACCTGCCCTTTTCTTAAATATGAGCCACTGACCAGATGTAATTTATTGTTCCCCTTCAAATATTCAAGAAATCCTTCACCTCTGACTGCCACTTTGGAACAGGAGCCAACTTTCCTCCCCAGACCTGCTCCTCAGCTCATGGGCACCAGCTCAGAAAATAGCACCACTATTGCTGCTCAAGCCAACACCCTAGGACCCATCCTGACTTCTGCTTTTCCCTATCAGTTCCTACACTACTATACATAATTTATTAGCAAGTTTTGCCATTCCTACGCCAACAAGTAAAACAGAACTTCTCTTTCTCTACCTGCCAACATTCCATAACCAGCTGATACCACCTCCTGCTTTAGCCTCTGAAGAACCCCTTAGTTTGCCTGTATCTCTTCACTCGAATCATCGGCAGTCCCTTTCCACAGAGCTGCCAGAGTAATAGCTTCACAAAGAAAGCAAGTTGTGGCAATTTCTGCTTAGACCGTCTCAAGACTGCTGATATGGTCTGGCTCTGTGTCCCTACCCAAATCTCATCTTGAATTGTAATACCCACATGTCATGGAAGGGACCTGATGGGAGGTAAATGGATTATGGGGCAGTTTCCCCCATGCTGTTCTCATCACAGTGAGTTTTCAAGAGATATGGATGTTTAAAAGTGTGGTACTCCCTCCCTCTCCCTCTCTCCCTCCCTTTCCTCCCCCTCTCTCCCTCTCTCTCTTTCCCTTCTTCTCTCCCACTCCCTTCCCCTCTCCCTCTCTCCCTCTCCCCCTACCTCCCCCTCTATCCCTCCCCCTCTTCCCCTCTCCCTCCCCCTCTCTCCCTCTCCCCCCCCTCTCCCTCTCCCCCCCCCCTCTCCCTCTCTCCTTCTCTCTCTCTCTCTCTCTCCCTCTCCTCCCCTCCCTCTCCCTCCCTCCCTCCCCCCTCCCTCTCCCTCCCTCCCTCTCTCCCCTGCTACCATATAAGACACATTTTCCTTCCTGTTCACCTTCTGCCATGAAGGCAAGTTTCCAGAGGCCTCCCTAACCAACTGTGTCAATTATCCTCTTTTCTTCGTAAATTACCCAGTCTCAGGTAGTCTTTTACAGCAGTGTGAAAATTCAGCTGCCCAGCTGGATGCGGTGGCTCACACCTGTAATCCCAGCACTTCGGGAGGCCGAGGTGGGTGGATCACTAGGTCAGGAGTTTGAGACCAGCTGGCCAATATGGTGAAACCCTGTTTCCACTAAAAATGCAAAAAACACCCACAAAACAACAACAACAAAAAACTAGCTGTGCGTGGTGGCATGGGCCTGTTGTCCCAACTACTCAGGAGGCTGAGGCAGGAGAATTGCTTGAACCCAGGAGGTGGGGGTTGCAGTGAGCCAAGACCGTGCCACAGCACTCCAGCCTGTGGCTGGAGACAGAGCGAGACTTCCTCTCAAAAAAACATAGAAAAGAAAGAAAATTCAGCTGCCCACTACACTCAGAATGAAGTCCAAAGTATTTCTCATGGTTTCTTATACCCACTCCTGACTCATCTCCTACCACCTTCCCTTGCCCCTAGTCACACTGGTTTCCTTTTTATTCCTCAAATTCAGTAAGCTCAGGTCTTCCTTGGAGTATCTGCACTAGATGTTCCCCTCTGCCAGAAGGCCAGAAATACTTTTCCCCGACACATGACTGGATCCTTCTTATCATTCACCCTCCACTCAGACCTCTGGTAACCCCTTCCTGAAGACCCCATCTGAAGGATCCTCCATCTGCCCCACAACTGATCCTCTCAAAATTATATTCTTTTCATCACAATGTTCACATCTAAAATTAAGCTTTGTAAGTCTTGACTATTTTATCGTTTGTCCTTGCCCCTTGGGAATGCAAGTCTTGAGAGCAAACACCTTTTCCCTTTTGGACACCACTATTTCTCTGGAGCTTAGACAGTGTCTGGAAATGGCAGCTACCAATAAATATATGCTGAGTCAGTGAATGAGCTGGCATCCATCATGGCTGTCAGTGAGATCAGAAAAGCTTCTTGTAGAGCCCCTTCCTGACTCAGCTGGGCTCCCTCTGGAAGCTCCACTCCCACCACAGTGCTCTCTCTCACCTCCCATGGCTACCCTCACAGTCCTCTTTTTCCTCTTCCCATAGCCCCAAGGCCTTAGGTGGAACAAGCTCAGATATTCTCCATGTCAAGGCTCTCATTATCGTGCAAAGAGAATTTGAGAAGTCCCAAGGCCCTTTACCCTCAAAAGGGATGAGAACTTTTAAAGAAAGAATCCAGAGGTGAGGTAACAATTTTGACAATGGCCCCTTGTGCCTTGATTTCCTTTTTAACAACCCTCCACCCCCACAACATACCTACAGGTGCACCCAGCCTTCATAGCTCGTTCAGCAGTTCAGCATCACTGACTGCCCTAGCTGGTAGAGAACAGCGAGCAGGGCCTGCCCCAGCTCTGGAGGGGAAGCCCTGCTTTGCACTGTTGCTGGGCAGAATGCCCAAGATAGAGCTCTCGCCAAATTCCCGCCACAAGGAGGTGGCTCCAGTCTTGAAGAGTTACACACCCAATAGGAGAGCATGCTCATGTTTTTGTGTAGGAAAATTTGTTTTTTAATTGCCTGGCAGCCCTGTATATTACCAGCGCCAATGGGCGTACTTGTTCCTCCAGCCCTACATCTTTATAAAGCAGCCCCTGCCTACCCAGGCAAAAGAACTCAGAAGAGAGCTGAGAGAGGTTGTGCAGGGGCCATGTGCCTGTTGTGTGTGTGTGTGTGTGTGTGTGTGTGCGTGTGTAATTCCCTTACCTCTCTCTCAACAGTGGAAATGGAAACCTCAACCCCTTCTTCACTGGAGTTTAACAAGCCCCACATCGTGCCCTGGTACACAGTTCCAAAATGTTCATAAACCAAGCTGTGACACCTCATAAACCAGGAAGGCACCCAAGCTCCACAGCCAATGAGGCTACAATCGTGATTCTATTAGGAATGTTTGAGTTAAATTTAGTGCATGTAAAAACAGACTTTGACTCCAGGGCCCATCCTCAGGGCTTGCACACAGCAGGTTCTTTAAGGATTTCTTGGATCATGAAGCATTTATGTCTTGGGTAAGTAGATTATCTCCAACTCTACTGAACATGGAGCAGGAAAAATGCTATTTCCTATAGCACAAGGGAAGGAGAGTACCTGCAAAGCAGAAATTGTAATCTTTATACTTAATCCTGAGATAGGGGTTAAGGAAAACCGTAGCTTTATTCCCTCTGGAAATAACTCCCATAACAGCTCCTACCCACAAATGAAACTGCACTAATAGAATGTGAGTACCAGTGGCCCAGCCACACAGTGTAGTCCACAGCAACAGTTTTATATAACAAATATTTATTCACTAATTATTGGGTTGGGTGAGACTATGCCAGGTATTGGAGGGTCACCACTAGGAGTTATACTAATTGCCCAATTATACTAAGTAATTACATTAATAATTATAATTGGTATACTTGCTAAGGAGAAGTACAGGCTCCTTTAAGAATACATGTCAAGGGGAGGTGACCTAATTGGGAGTATTAGAGGGACCACCCTTCAAAAATGACAGGAGAACTGGGGACTGAAGGATGTTCCAGAAAGAGAGAACAGCATGGGAAAAAGAGAGTAGAAAAAAAGTCACTGGACCATTTGAGAAAGAATCACAAAGAGACGGTCTAGTGTGTGAGACAAGAGAGACAAGGGATGGCTCTGCC